ATCCATTTATTATTCGTTTGAGATTATCTTTATTCATTTATATTTTATTTAATTAATTGATAAATCAATTCGCTTATTTATTTTCCCACTAATCTTTTTTTTTTATTTGATATATTAAATTTTATCTATACATTTTTTTTTATTTATGTTTTTATTTTATTCTTATTTTTCTTATTTTTGGTGCAGTGATTAGATTTTATCTATATACTTATTTGATTTATTATTATTATCATTATTGCACACATTAAATTTTTATCATATAGGGCCCATACAAAAAACACCTAGAAAACATTTTTTGTGAAGAATTTCTGTGGTATCAAAGATCAAGATGCAAGACAAAATATTTTGTCAATTCAGTTAAAACCAAAAGCTCACATACTGTGTTCACTACCAGATGGCTATTTATAAAGAGTACCTCCGTGTATACTGTAATCTGCTACAAAAAATCTCGCCTGTCCTTTCCCCTCTCACTTTTCATATTCAGTAAAATAAATCTTCAAGTAAATGGGTGATTCAAATATTACCATTATTAGTTCACGGTGCCTGCTTTATATTTTGTAATAACATCTTTTGATTGTGTTATAAATTTCAGCCAGGATTTTCACCTTTAAAAAACTATTAAAATTTAATGGTTTTCGCACCAGAAAAATTGTCTACCTGGCACGGTCGTGTGTACAGTTGGCCAAGACAAGAGAACTAGATCAATGTTCTTTCACCAAATGAAAATAATGAAATTTTACTCCTGCTGTATCCCTACTTCAAGTTCTCTCAGACGATGGAAAATGATAAGTCTGAAAATAAATTTTCCTTCAGGATAAAAAAAATTGTTTTCAATAGACACATATATACACATGTTGAAATATGTACATGACAGTACATTAATATGGCTACCTGTACATGTACATGTACTAGTGTGTCCAGTTTTCAGTTTTAAAATTTGTTTTATTTTGCATGTACATTATACACATTACAGATAAAAAAAAAATAAAGACTAATCCTTATCGCTTTTAAATGAATATCTGGAATGATCATTGATTACTGGTAAAAGAGAAATGATGTTGAGAGAGAGAACTTAATATGTAGATTGAAATTTATACAGGCGATCATAACCATTCTGTTTACGTACTTATAAATAATATACATGACTTATTGTACATGTACAATAGCTGTTCAAATTATTTTTTTTTTAGGAATGGGAAGCATTCGCAATTGAATATCTTAAGATTGTTATGACCGAAAACCATTTAATTTAAACAACATTTTATTCACTGATGTTATTGTGAATAGGATTGGGCAGCAGGCACAGCCTATTTTAGCCCTATTTATATACAGTGAGAACCATTGATACATAATTTTAAGACTTATTTACAAAGTCACTAATTGATCATTTTATTGATGGGCGCAAAGGGGGGGGGGGGGGTCACACTAACTAAAGGTTATTCGTTTAATTTCCCTCGATGAAATTTTTAATACTTCGTAAAATTAATTTCATTGGACAAACGTTGTTCATGCAGGACTTTTTAATATTTAATAGATAATAAAAGTACAAGTAGTTACTTTACCAGTGTAAACTGTTACATGTAGATAATAAAGCCGCCGGTAGTACGGTAGTACATCGTGATAAAATCATTTTATTTTAATTCTTAATTTATAATTCTAAATTTAACTGATGAAATGTACCGAAGTGATTTTATAAATTCATCAAACTGTTAATAAAAAAATTCCCTAGTGTTTAAATCGGTTCATTTTACCTATATCCACTTTTTGAAAATCATGTAAAAAAAGGTGAGATTTTATGTGGGAATAGGTGGAATTTTGTGTCAAAAGTCGGCAAATTTCATACTAATTATAAGAGACCACTGTAATTTAGCATGAAAGCTTGTGACCCGACACGGGCACTCGGAGTCCTTGTCGCTGAGTGGGTACGGTCGTCTGCCGCAGAATAAACAATGTACAGTGGTCAGTGAAAAGACAATAGGTGTCACTACTGTGTATAAACCGAGTCTCTGATCAACTATCAACGACTAGGAATTTATTTAACGAACCGTGACAGATTTCCAAAGAACGAGAGATGCTGTTGTACCAAAATAAAAGTACCAACAAAATGATTAATCGATTATGATTGTATGTAACGAGACGGTCATTTTGATACCCATCATGAAATGTAAAGAATTTCATTTAGCGTAAATAACCCCAAGAAATACTTTGTAGCATGTTTTTACTTGAAGTCAATCCCTCCCCGGCCACACACACACAAAAGGTAAAAATTTGAATATACATACTTTATATAATGTAGCATATAATGTTCCTATTTAAACACTATGACTTACGTTATGAACATTTCAACAAGTAAAAAAAAAAATTCCTATTCAAAACTTCCCTATTCTAAAAACTTGACTCCTCCCGTTGAAATGTTTATATATGTCCACCACTGGAAATGTGAAATAAGATGGCTTAAGGTGAAAGTATTGTTTATTTCTCATGAAAATCATCAAACATGTCATTTTTGATATGTTACACCTGAGGGTACTTATTGACAGATACCCATCCCCTCCCCTTTCAAATTTCAGGCAGGCAGGGGAGATGTTTAGAGTAACCAAATAAAGTATTTCTAAAATACCCGTGTGAAAATTTTACTTTCAGGTTAACTTTACATTGTATAATTAATTAATTTTAAATTACAGATAGGTCATATGTGTGCACAAACGGTTTAAGAATTTTTTTTTCTTCTGTCACTTTCAGTTTGAAAATAAACGGTATCTGCTTACATCCAGTTAAGATTTACTTTATTTTTATCATTTAATTACCCCCTTCACACAATCATCTGTTTACGGTAACACCTTACCTCCCTTTTCTATATGAACCTTAAAGTTTATGTTAAATACTCTTCCAAAGCCAGCAACATTATTTTAAGGTATTCGATGTATAACGACCATATTTTGTATCTAATAAATGACTGGCCCGATATTCCAAACCATGGTAGCATTTTGAAGATGTTATCAAATAAAAATGCTCCACCAAAAAAATTTACAAAATTTTCATTATTCTCCAATTAATTGCACCTTGAATTTTGTATTGAAGTCTATGGGCAGCGCAGGTTTTTATAATATATTGTAAAAAGTAATTTGAATTTCAAAAAAATCTCTTGGTGAAAATATTCATTAACTCTATCTTTAATTAATTATCAAATAAAATGAATTATTTACCGCCAAAATTTTGAGAAATCTTGAAATTTCTTCTTTTGCCCAAGGGCAGATAACTCTTAAAAAAACTTTTAATGTGCAAAATGACCGCCTCCTTACATGTCATCAGTCTTGTGAATTTGGTTTATGTCACTTTTTATCGATATCTAGCAATGCGTTTTTAACTAGTTTAAAATTATTTAAAATCGTTCAAAACCCCCTCGTTATACATCGAATGCCTTAAATGAAATATATTAGGTCACCTTTAAATGATTTGTCCTCTCCCAACCATTTTACTTGAAATGGCCTGACTGAAAACCAGCATGAAACATTTTTTATTTTAAAATTCCCGAATTTTCTTAGCCCGCCAATATGTATGTTGAAATTTTCCAAAAAAAAAAAATTATATAATATCTACCTACTGATTCAATCTTATAATATGAGATGGGAGAGGACATACAAACATTATTTTAAAGATGCCCCTTATATATACTTCATTATTCTTTCATAGCAATACAACTGCATGCTTATACTCAGCTGCATTCTGTTAAACTTGAGTAATCCTGAAATCTTAAGTATTTTTTCATCATTTATTAGATTTGTCAAATCCATGTTACAAATTTATATGCAATTTTTCACTGCATGTACTTGCAACTGCAAGGTGAAGTAAATAAAAACAAACAACAAACAAATACAGTATAAGGCATTATGTAAATATATACACTATATAAATAATTAAAGCATGAACATTCAATTAATCTCTGAAATGTCGGTCAAAATCAGTCCATATACTGCATTATCACTAGAGGCAGGAGTGATAAAATTCTTAAATTTACCAAATCAGCTATAAAAAAGAAAGCTTTGTCTATGAATATCAAATTATAAACATGATATATCAAGATATTGGCTAACTGGGGCACCAAAAAAAAGTAATTGAAAATGTAATCAACTCTCATGTTCCTTGTGTACCTTATGTGTTTTTAGAAAGTGAAAAGACAATTATATAGACATTCAATCTGTACATGTAAACTTAATCAAATGCTCTGATGATCTTGGTACATTCATGATACAATATACAAATATCGTAAACATTTCAAAGTAATGCATATAAGTTTGTGTGAGATCATCCAAACTAGTATGGTAAATGCATAATACCAGAAAAAACTTGGTTGTAATTGTTCAGCATTTCAACAATGGTTTAGTACCCACAATAGTCCTTCTTTCCTCACATGCACTAATGGTTGACTTAACAAAGAAACATGCATCAGTCTCTGGCGAACAGATGTTGGCTCAAAACAGTAGAATCCATTCTCCTTCGTGGCAAGAGGGAATTCATTTAGCACGACCCAGTCTTGAAAACAGTTGTTCATCTGGTGGGACAAAAAGTAGAGAATTTCTGCAAATTGGACACCACTGACAGAAGGAATCTTTACAACGGATGCTGTTTTTCGTTTGAATCCTTTCCCATGGTACTGAACAGTTCGGCCACAATTGTCAACAACAGAACAAGACCTATGATCCTCCATGACTGAATCTTGGAAACTCATCACATTGACAGCCATCACATTCACATAAAATCGAAACATGGCATCCATCATCTGGGGTGTCAGCTTTGACTTTTTCAGGGTAGATTTCTCTTTTCTGGACGTAGCTTGGTCATGCTGGTCGGGAATCATCTGAATACAGGTTTCAGTCTGTTCACTTGAAAGTTTTTCTGCTAGATCAACTAGTCTGCTTTCACCACTAAACACTTCGGATGGCTTAAACTGTTGGCTCAGGACCATATGAACACACCAGTCATATATCTGAAAAATATTGACAGATTTAGAAACTTAATGATTTCAAATGTGTGGTATTTATCACTCAATCAGCATGGCATTTCTTATTTCAGAGAATTGCAATTTTAGTTTTTGTAATGTGTATACAGTATACATATTACTGTTATAAAAAAAAAATATTTTTTAATGTTTTCAATTTTTTTTTTTTAGTATTCATTAATAAACTTGACCATGGTGGCTTCTATCTGACAGTGCAAGGAAAAAGATAACATTTAGTCTAGAAATCTCATTAAATTTGAATTATTTTCAAGATTAATTTTATTACCAAGAGGTTTTCTTACCACGTATGTCTCCATGACAGTCGACTCCTCAACCCCTTTCCGTAAGCATTGTCTGCTGATCCACCCATTTGCTCTCTCGTAAGGGAAAAGCCATCGCCCATATACTGGTCCAAAATCCAAAAGTCCATCAACCATGTGGTGAATCAAATGAGTTGTTAAATTCTGAAATTAAAAAAGAAAAATAAATAAACTTGCACAAATGTTTTAGGAAATATTATTTAGTTCTGTATCCAATATTGTGTAACTAAATAATTAAGGTGACACAAGTATTTACTGCATCATACAGTGAAAATTGAATCTATCTATCATGATCTATACATGTATTGATATAAAGAATCTAAAATGCATATTAAATTTGAATAAATGCTTTAACCATAACAACACAGGATTTATATTTATATCAGGAACCTTCTGTAATAAAAAGAAAATGAAATATGTGCTAGCACTTAACCTCAATAATTACACCTCTATGAATTATATGATTTAAAAAAAAAAAAAAATTGAACTAAATGATTTTTAATCCAATCCTTAAAAAGCAAAAAAAAAAATTAAGAACAGAATACCTGTTTTGAATCGGTTTAATTAAAAAAGAAATTAATAATTTAATTACCTGAAGAGACAAAGGAAAATCTTTCTCCAGAAGGCAGAGAGCTGTATGAACATCATCCTGGAGCTGCTGTACATCACACTCTTTCAAGACCGGTGTTATCATTCTCTTTAACACATTCAGTAGAAAGAACAGTGTTTCTTCTTGTGTTGGTGGAAGAAATCCCTTCACACACCATTCCAATCCTCCACTTGTCACAAACTAGAAATAAGAATAACATGACTTGTTAAACAAAAGTACAATGTATCTTGAAAATTTCATTTAATAATAAAACACAGTTTGTTCTGTTTAAACATGAATTTTTATTACAGCAATTAAAACTTGTATGTATCTTTTGGAGAGGGTTGTTACTGTTTTTCGTATGTAGAATCTAAAAAAATATATTGGGTATTCAATGCATAACAACCTCATTTTGTACCTCATAAATGAATGGTCTGAACCGATTAATCATGATCATGATGAAAGCATTTTATCAACATGATCAAAGAAACATACTCCAGTTTCAGCATTTAATAAATTAATTATCGTTCAATTAATTGCACTTTGAATTCTATTGATACATTGATATTTATGGACAGGGCATGTACTGTAAAGATCTCGAGTAATTTGAATTTCATACAAATCTGTTGTTATCATGGTTATAATATGCATTAACTCTCTTTTGTAGAAATATGAAATGATATATATATAATTTAATTACCACATATAATTTGACAAAATGAAATGTATAGCTTATTATCAAAGGCAGACAACTTTTCCAAAAAAAAAAAAAAAAATCCAAATTGCAAAATAATCAGTTTTTCTTTTTAGTCAGATGAATTTAGTTTACTCCACTTTCATCAATATCCATGTTATCTATCAATGTATTTTAAACTCATTGGCAAACTACAATATTGTTCAGAATCCTTCAATAAAATAGAATTTATATTTAACATCAATTTGACATATCATTCAATAAAATTCATTACCATGATAACAATATTAAATACACATGTTTTTAAATTTACCTGCAACTTGGAATTCATGGTTCTCAGTGTCCAGGGTTTTGAGAAGTGGGGTCCTGGAGTTATATCTTGCACATCAGTGTAGCAGATTTCCGAAGCTCTTCTGTCGGCCTCTTTTATCTGTTCTTTACTAAGTGACCAAGGAACACTATGGGGTATCTCTGTAGATGTATCCTTCGTCGTCTTCCTCTTCTTCGTTGGTCTGGGGTCTTGGATCACAGCAGAGTCAGGAAACGAGTTCCACACATCATTGAACCTTCCAAATGACTGCTCACATTTTTGGACTTTTGTTGTACTGTGTTTTCCAGTTAGTGCATCAAGAAGATGGCCAATAAAGTCAGCTAGGGTATGCATTGCATCAGGTTGCATCTGCTGCATGCGGTTGTGGTAGGGCAGACGAAGCAATGAGTACTTTCCTTTCAGACCTGTCTCCTTTTGCAACTTTGATTTTTGATTGTTATTTGGTTTCCTGTCATATTTCTCCCTCAACTGTATCTCGTTCTCTGGCGAGTAAGGTGCGGGCTTTTCCCTTTGTTCTACACTTCCAAAGTCATCTGCAGTCCTAAGGGGATCATCTGCAGGCAGAAACCGTCTATTTGAGTTGTGGATTGTTTTATGGAGGTGTTTACAGTGTTGTCCAGCTTCTGTGCAGTAAGGGCATGACCTCAAAGCTCCGTGGCCTGAGAGATGGAACAATTTGGAGAATGCAGGTATGTCACACAAGAACTGTAGAAGGGCAACTTTGACTGTGACCGGTGCAGCTTCATATTGATTGTATACTGTGAATTCTGTCAATGACAATAGTTCATCGATTAAAAGTTCAAGGTATGGTTCCAATGATTTTGGCTCAGATCCCTTGATTCCACTTGGAATGACTCCCACCAGTAACATGGGGCCTAAAAGTTGTCGAATGTCAATCGGCAAGTTTATCCATGTCAATATGATGGGCCACATAGATTTCGAACTTGTCATGTGCTTGTTTGGATTAACACCATCGGTGAATAAGGACAGAGGGATTGCTAGGGATTCTGGTACTCCTTCAAAAACTCCACCGGGCTGAAACCAAGAACTGTATAATTTCCCATCAGTAAAGTCTTTGACAGTTCCATTGACAGACAATCTGTTTGCATACAACAATTTGCACAAATTTGTTGTTCCAAACCATCTACTTAGTCTCGGTCCAACTGGCATATATGTAAAGCGTTTCTGTGTAATTCCATTTTTTGTACGTGGTTCATTGCACACTGGACAGCTTTGCAGAGTCACAAATTGTTTTTCTTTGGTATCTCTGTACAATACACAGTCATTGATACATGCGTCATATTTCTGGAGAGGCATAAGAAGTGGTGATATCAAGTGTTTCGCCTCTTGGAAGGATCCAGGAAGATTGTTTGGCTGAGGAAGGGATGATTTTTCACAAGCCAAAGAATCTGAGACAGCAGATTTGGACATCCCATGATTCATGCTGAAAATGTACATGTGCTTCATGATGGCATCCAATACACTAGTGCGAGCTCCACTGTAGAGAGGCTTCTGTAAGGATTCATTTTGTACATCACTTTCTTTGAAACGAAACTTTGGGATAGCTGGTGAACCCTCATGCACACTCTCGACAAAGCGCTTTTGATGGTAGTAGAACAAGGAATTCCTAATCCATTTTCCGCCACAAACTGTGCACAGACAAAACTTCTTATCCTCTGAAAAAGAAAAATAATTTTAGGCTTGTTTAAAAAAAAGCTAGTATATTACCTGATAAAAAAAGCCATTTTATTATTTTTATTAAATTAATATAAACATGCATTTATCACTTTTACCATGTTTACTAAATAAAAAAGATTGATGTAAATGAAAATCAATATCTAAAGTAGGTCTTAACTAAATTATTAAATTTCAAACATAATCTTTCCTTATCTCCTTTTATTCTTATTTCCTTGAATTTCTTCTTTAAAAAAAAAAATTAATAAATAAAAAATTAAAATAAGTAAAAAATAAAGAAAAGTGTTAATTTTCCTAATTTTACAATTTATTCGATTTAACCACAATTAACTAACATGGCTGAAAATAGCTCCTTTTTCTAGAAATATTCTGTAAGTGTAACAAAATAATTACCATTTCCCTGCATATCTGCATCATAATTAAGCCAGAAAAGACCAATTAACATGAAAAGTACCAGTTTCATATCATTTTTTATCTCATAAACCCTACATCTTTACTCTTCAACAGTTAGTAATTCTATGACCCTTTAATGTGAATTGGGATTTCGCCCCTCCCTCTTCAAAGAACTACTGAAGAGACTCTCATTCTTTGATGTGAGGAGATCAATAGCACTGCGTATAGATGCCAAAACAGCTACTGTTGCGATTTAAAAACTGAAGAAGTTCAAAGAGAGATGGGTATACACAAGCAAAACAGCTACTGTTGCGATTTAAAAACAGAGGTTGTTCAAAGAGAGCTTGTTATACACAAACATACAGGCCTGTTTTAGGTTGATATCTTCTGTCAAATTAATTGATTTTCTTTTTATTTAAAATCTTTGACATTTTAAAATTATTGAAATATTTATTTCCATAATTATTTTAAAAATATTTGCATTTTTTTTAAAAAAGGAAAATCAATGCATCAAATAATTCTAATTGCATTGGCATTTATTATCAAAAGTTAGCCATGTTGTATAGGATGTTATTTTTAATTTATTATTGTTGATGTGAAGTTGTAATTAATTGATATTTTATTCCCTATATTCATACAATATGTTATACTTTTAGGCACATGTTCAGTTGCAGGTGAATGTATGTCTGAATCAGTGTTTTTCTTTTCCTTAACATGCTTAATCATATCAATCACAAATAGAAACACATTAATTAACAACTTTTGTGTTTATATAGCAATTTAAGTAATAGAATTGCATATTTAAGTTCAGAGGATCTGATGAGTTTCATAATTACTGTTTGACCCCATGTGAAATTAATTGTAGGTAACTATCTCCTTGAAGCCCTTCTCATCTTTATAATTATGTATAAATGGGGTATGTGTAATAAAAACATGCAAGCAAAAAAAACATTGAAGGTGGACCCTGATTTCATTTCCTCTGTTGAATTTGTTGTGGATAGTCTGAAAAGTGATCTGAAGTCTGAAAAGCCATGAATTCCAACTTTAGTGCCTTAACTTTTAGTGACTCTGACTATAGTGTAAGTGCCGGTAATTTTGTGTCCCCTAGTCTGCAACGCAGTGCACCACTTTCACGGACTTGTACTTTTAACTGTTTCTGCTGTGCAAGAATTAATCTTGGACTGTTTTGTGCATGTAACTCCTCCAAAATGACTGTTTCCACACAGACATACAGTTTTGATTTCCCCAAAGATCATCAACAGGACCCTCAAAACATGTGGAAAAGGGGGACCTTTGAACATGGCACTGTACAGGTACAGTTTTTTTTATTATTATTATTATTTATGTCACTATATAAAAAATCTTAATATAAAATATTATAGGCCATCCTTTAAAAAATGTTTGTTTGGAATAGCCGCCTGGGGGTTTTCAGACCCAGTAGGGATATTTTTCTTTTTCTTTTTTTTAAATTGAAGCTAAATGAATAAATATATTCAATGAACAGTAGTGATTCTCATTTATTTTTTCTTTCTTTTATTTTATTAACATTATTTTTGTCTTTTTGAAGAAAAAAAATAAATATAGCACTACACAGAACGGTTTGTCAAACCTATATCATAATAAATACTAAAAAGAAAGCCTTTTATTAATCTGTGTTGTTAAATTAATGTAACCTCAGACCCGATTTAAAAAAGCTATTTTGAGGAAAGAACTAACCTGACTGCATATATTTCAATGAAGCGGGCAGCAATTCCAAGCAAACTTTAATTTTATTTTGGCCCTGATAAAGTACGTTGCATATTATTATAAGAAATTTTGTTCTGAGTAATCAATCTGTTTTTTGTGTGAGTACAAATTTGAAATACACTATAGTATATTTTGTCAAAAATGAATATTAATTGATAATATAATTATAAAATATTTCTGAAGTTAGGACACTTTGAAGTGTTTAACTTTTGTATACCTACAATTATAACTGATTCTGCATGTAAGCATGCACACAGGCCTGTTGAGTATGTTTATTTCTCTGTATTCTACAATTCTATGTCATCCATAAAGAATAATGCATGCTGTTATCAGCAAGCAGCTTACTTAACAATTTATCAAACTTTATTGGCAGAAATTAGGAATTTATAATTAAATTAAAGGACAATTGGGTAAGACCAGTATTTGACCCCTGATTTGGGTGTCTTTCAGAATGATCTAAGAGTTCATCCATGAAAACCTGTTTTCACCCCTGCCACAAAATGAGTGGTGGTTTTGAGGTTTAGAATATACAGGGGTCAAAATCAGAAAAACTCGCCCCCGGCCAAGACAAGTCGCCCCAAACACTTGTGAAGATAACTCGCCCCTACTCAAGACAACTTGCCCCCATTATTTTTTTCTTATATATTACACAGAAAAAACAAGTGTTATTCAATAATGTATATTTTATATGCAAATTTTTAATTATAATCAACACTTACGGTTGTAATTGCTATAGTTATTTATTTCTTTTTTTCATCATGCATTTACATAATATTTTTGCATAAAAAAATGAGTTTGCATCAAAGATTTATCATAATTAATATCCATGCTTTTTTAAATTTAATTAAATGGGGTTAATAAATGCATTAGTTTATTTTTTTATTTGATTCTTTATATTTGAGGAAAAATTGAGGAAATGTTCTATTTTTGCACCCTCTATAGCTTAGGTGGCTTCCATGTTAGCCTTAAACTGAATCAAAATTAGTGCATGTCTTAAAGTAAGCATCATTTTAACTTCTTATCTACAAACTATCGCAATTTTACTAGTGTTCTGATTTTTACATCAAATAAGGAGCCAGATTCGGCTGTCACCCTATCTTGTCCTTTCAGTGAAAGTACACTTGAATTGCTTTCTTCATCATGTTCATCGTGCATGTTGATGAACTGATTACACATGTGTTGCTAAGGCTGATGTCAATAGAATGGATTGTTAACTGCGTTCTAGCCAATTAGATTTTAGTATTTAACATGAAAGTATAATAAAATATAATGTCTGCTCTTAAGATGTCACATGTCAGGTGATTGTTTGATCAGCAGATTAATGATAAGCAGCTTAAAGAAAATTACTGTAACAGTCATGTATATCCAAAAATTATTATTCTATATACCAAAATTTTTTGCACGAACTAGCTGTATTCAATACAAAAAATTGTACTAGTCCTTTTTTCTCAAAACACTCAAAAGATAAAGGCAAATGTTCAATTCATTTATTTAAGCCCTATTTATTTATCTTTGGAAAGAAACGAAATGATATAATTATGCATAAGTCTTGCCACTCATTCTATGTATTTTGTTTTTGTTTATATACCATTTATACTGATGAGCTATATTCAATAAAGAATTATACTTAATTATTAAGTTTTTCATTCAGAATTACCTTCAGTTTCCAAGAAATGACACTAAATCATAACATTTCATTTATATACTATAGTATTCCCTAAAGTTTAATGATATAAACTGATTAAAGTATAATGTCTACCAACATAAAAATTGTACATTTTTGGTGAGTAGTCCAAAAATACACACTTTTGCATACTTTTGAACTGCGATTAACAGAGAACAATTTAAAAAAAACTTGTACAATATAAAGGTTTGAGTAAGTTACTGCCCTTGTTAACATTTGTTAAAGATTGATAAATTCATTAAATAAAGAAAATATATATTTTCTAAATTCTTTCAATTAACATGCTTTTTAAAATCAATCATTACATAAATGAAAAGCATTCTTACAAAAAATTTTGGATATGAATTTTGATTAATAACAGTTTTTGCAAAAACCTATGACCCCACAGTAGGATGGAATCATCTTAATGGAAAAATTACATATTAAAATTAATATTATAGCCAGTGCAGCAACTGTCGCTTTGCGACGCTTGTCACTGAGCTCTTAAAGCAATGCCTGTGCGAAGAGAAAATTAGGACTACTGAACATTTATTCGAAAAAAAATTTTAACACAGTAATCTGGACCCACAATTCATCACTTGTTAAGGCTACATTGAAGCTATGTTCTTGTGAGAATAGCAGCAAAAGTACAACCAAAAGTAAACATGCCCTGATTTAATGGATAAATATTGAAGAAAAAAAGCAAAGGAAACGTTCCTCGATCATTTACTTTCAGCACTATTCAGGGTTCTTTTTGTAAATGTATGTGACTTATATTTGACTTCATGTGACGTCAGAGTCTAGACGCACCAAATGTCACGTGCAGTTTGACGAGCCCGATCTAAATTATAACAAAATGAAGATCTGCATAATGGTCAGACTGTCATCATATTATTACCTGTAGTTAAATGTGGCATATCATTCTGTGCAAACATGAAATTAGGGTGAACCCACCCATTACTTCTAAAATTTGCTGTAAAAATGATTTTTTTTTAATATGTTATTTTATCTTAACAGAAGCTCATCAACACCACCATAGAGAAGTACATGCCCTTTACTGTCAAGAACACCATGACTATGGATACTGCATTCGAGGAAATTTTCATCAGACTTGGGGTCCAGTTTCCAAATTATGCTATTGACAGAAAGAAGCTGCGGAGCCGTATGCTTAAAAGCATGGAGTGGCAGCGGTACTACTCCAAAAAGAGGTAAATTATGTTTCTGACAAGACAAACAATCTTCTGAGAGATTAATATTAACTGTTAAATTAAATTAAAAATATATTATATACTTAATTTAAATCCCATGGTTATTAAATGAGCACAGTACTATTCATGCAATACAAAGTACAATCACATGTGCATATCGATTTTTAATTAGATTTTCTTCTTATTTCTTTTCGTTCCATGGCAGTTGTAATTGTGTTCTTATATTCTCTATTTTACCTAAATACCACTAAATGTTAATTTAATAGATTGATTAAAACAATTCATTCTTTTATAGGGAGCAGGCCAAAAAGGAGGACAGATCTGCCCACCAGATCCTGAGAAAGAAAAGAAAGCACGCAGATGTCAACAAAGAAAATGAGCCCCTCCTACCGACAGAGAATGCTGATATGTAAGTTTTAATTAAATATTTTTCTTTTGTATATTCATTCTTACCAATCTAATTAAAACGAGATGTTAGATCTGCTTGCATACTTGCTACACTAGTGTAGCGTCTAACATCTCATTTTAAATAGGATTGCCTTCTCATAAAAGATTTTTAAGGATTTATTTTTATCAATGTCTATTTTCAAGTATATATAATTAAACACAGATAAAATATGTAAATGAATTAATAGCTAAATCAACAGTTGTGTAAATATGAACATCATATAATTTTGTTGTGATGTGAAGTGATTATCATGATTATATAATTATGATAAGATTGTCCTTATCTGTATCGGTACAATTATTTTCATGTGTAATACAGTATTTTACCTATTTGAAATATTTCCCAGATTTTTTTTCCTTTTTGTAGCAACTGACTTAAAATATTTACCATGATCATGTTGATTTAAAGTATTGTTTTTTTCTACAGGGGTGTAGACAACCCAGCATTCCAATCGGACGATGACAGCGATTCTGATGTCCCCCTGGCCATGCTGCAGCGTGGGAATGGTAGGAAGAAGAGTCTGTGAACACCGGAAAAACCATATTGACAGCTGATGACATTTTAGACAAACTGACAGTTTAGAACTGAATACTGTGATGTTTTGATTACTTCATAACTCTGTAAACTTTATTGTATTTATGACTATGCATCAATAGACTTTAAAATATTTAAATAAACAAATAAACTTACACAAATCTTTGAATTTGAGTATCATTTCGGTGCATTCACCAGGCCCAGGGTCCCTCCTACAAACTGGATTACAAACACATGGCCTTGCCACTGTCACGCACATCCGGTTTCATTGTGTAGTATAAAAACTTCATTTAGAAGAACAACCTTTTCCGGAAAAAATGTTGGGGAAATAAATATTTACGTAGTGAAGAAAGCAATCGATCAAAAATTTGATGACACGAGTATATGATAATTTTGCTAGCCAAGTGCTTTTAGTTTTTAATCTGATTTCAAGGACATTGGAAACAAGTTTGGGACATTTGTTCATTTAGACATGGGGGAAGGAGGGTACATATGTCAGTTATAAATATTGCCATTGATTTTGTTAAACCGAAAGAGGGGGTGGGGTTAAACTTTACAACTGAGGGGCGCATACATAGACAGCTAGCTGCATCAATGTAGCCCTCGGGGGGGGGGGGGGGGTCAGAAAAAAAAATTTCAAAAATCGCAGACTGCATTATTGCATCTACATCATAGACCAAAAAATGGCTGAAATATTGCCGACTTGGCGTTAAACAATATGAAATCAATCTACATCATACATGCATGTATACCAAATAAACAGTTTTCTAGAGTATATTTTAAGAGGGGCATAAACTTTTAATCTTTGAAGCAGAAAAACAAATTGATCGTGATTCAGGAATGAAAAGTTGGAATTAATGTCGCATTGGCGTCGGAAGTGGGGGGGGGGACTTAGTTTAAGAAAAAAAAATAAATTATACCTCCAAAAAAACATGACAAGCCAAAAAAAAAGGAAATGTCTATTTCCCAAATACGAAAATTCTATTTCGTGAGTGGGGGGGGGGGGGGGGGGCTAGGTTCGAACTCCAGTAAATATTTTCTTCAAAACACCAACATTTTCCCCAATTTTAACCCATACTAAGACGTATCTCCGGAAAGTTGTGGGGAGGGGGGAGGGGTCTAAACTTACGAAGATATGTTCAATGTTTATACTAAGTATATATTTGGAAAAAAAGGGGGGGGCTTATGGGGCTTCCGACGCCTATGTGTCAAGCAGAATGTTAGAAACTGATCAGACGAAGAGTAAAATAAGGGGTTGAATTTAAATGCGGATCTAGGAACGGTGCGCCGGGCGTGTGCCTTCCTTCGTTTGATTTTTTCGTTTGTAAAACTTGTTCATTTTCATAAAACACATTCCTATTGATGGTTTTTCATTCAAAAAAGGTTTTTCTTTGAAACAGTTATGAAAAGATCGATGTCTCAGCTGCATGTATAAATGGTAATCTAAATGTTCCATTAACCAGTTTTATTTTCTTTAAGATCTCCTCACTGGTTTAAATTTAGATAAGAGAAGTTCAATTTTTCGGACTTGATGTATAATTTAATTTTATCCCCTCCCCCCATGACACACACACATACAGAATTTTCATTATACATGTATTAAACAAATCAAATGATTTGATTTGACAGGTACATATATTAAATCGGATTTGGTATGAGTTCTTAAAACAGTTAGTACATACACCTAGCTATAATTCAAGGAAAATATTTCTCAAGATCCTGTCGCAGTTTTTTTTATACTCAAAGCATTAAATCGTTGACCAGACACTCGGGGTACACGTAAATTCAAGACACCTATTGTCTTTTCACTGGCCACTGTACATTGTTTATTCTGCGGCAGAGCGACCGTACCCACTCAGCCACTTGGTCTTCACATCCAAAATAACACGCTCTCTTTGTTGAAATAAAAATGTTTTAATGAACTCTCTAACGGGTACCTCTGCACCAGCAATTTAGTTCGTTTTAGATATTTTGTAAACTTCTGGATACCTTATTATCAACCCAATATTTCATCTATCATCTCTAAATATTAATACAAGGTTAGGGTTAGCCAGCTTAAGGATAACTATTAACTCCTCTATACCTACACATTTTTGTTTTATCATGTTACAGATCATTAAGGAAAATTGAAAACACTGCAAGATATAAACTATCCTCCTGTTTAACACCAGTGTTGCACCTGTAACAGTTTATAAGTTGACGTTGGCATACTTAATCCTTTGGTAATATACGTGTAGCCATTATAATTAATATTATGTAAAAATACAAAGACATGGACCATGTTACCAATTGATAATTTATATTCAATACAGTAATCTCTCGTGACCAGTTCCCTCCACATCCATTCTTGCTCAAATATACGCTCCAAATCTTGTTACAGGAACATTTTCTTCTTGATGTACATAGATAATTCATTTTCATGTCGTAAAATTGTATATCTATTTTCAGAAAAGAACTTTTTATTTCCTCATAAAATTCTCGCAAAAAGGAGAATATTGATACAACAGACATTTTTCCTTGAATTAATGAATGAATGAATTTAATAAATGAATGAAAGAATAAATAAATAAATAAATAAATAAAGAAAGAAAGAAAGAAAAAAGAAAGAAAGAAAGAAAGAAAGAAAGAAAGAAAGAAAAGAGAAATTAATTAATTAATAAATAGATAAAGAAAAAAATAAATAAATAAATAAAAAAAGAAAGAAAGAAAAAAGTTATAAATAAATTTATAAATAAATAAATAAATAAAGAAAAAAAGGAATAAATAAATAAATAAATAAATAAATAAATAAATAAATAAATAAATAAATAAATAAATAAATAAATAAATAAATAAATAAATAAAATAAAATAAAAAGTAATTAAATGAGTACATAAATAAATTGATTGATAGAGTATGAACCAACTCATCGATATGTTATTAATGTATACTAGTAAATAAATTGAAAAATAATAAATTTACCGAACATATGAATAAATTAATTCATAAAATATGAAATAAATCATCAATTAACTTTAAAATATCAAATAAATTATCCATTATGAGGAGTGATAAAGATGTTTAAACAAACAAATAAAGAAAGACATTTACGAAGAGATATCATTATTTTCAAATGCATTCACGTGTTATATTTAAAATTAAAATGTTTCTTTTTAATTTACTGGAATTTATTTACCGTGAGTTTCATCTGAAAAGCTGACTAACTTAAACAATCTGTACCTATTATAAGTTTGTTTTTTTTTTTTAAGTATGAAATAATTTTCAAAGAAGTTATTGGTATTTTTTGGAAAATTTCACGAAAAAACATATTAAAACCCCTTTTTCTGGGTCAAATCTAATGTCAGGGGACGTCAGGGGGTTGACAGGGACAGCAGGGACAACGACAGGGGACCACAGGGACTGGACAGGGAGATCAGAGAATGTCAGGGGACGACAGGGACTGGACAGGGAGAGCAGGGACAACGACAGGGGACCACAGGGACTGGACAGGGAGAGCAGGGACAACGACAGGGGATCATAGGAGAAAGTCAGGGAGAGTCAGGAAAATGTCAGGGACTCACAGGGGGACAACAGGGGTTTTTTTGGAATCTAAGGGGATAATCATTTCAGTAGTGAAAGTCTTAAATTACTAGTACATGTTTGAAACACAAATATATACTGGTATTTAGAAGCCAGTGGTTAGCGGGAAAGGGTGCATGGTGCGTATTTGGTTAATTAAAAAAAGAAAGACATACAATGTACATGCTCGTGGAATTCTGAAATTTATCTGACAAAGGTCAGCGACATTCTGCAGCTTTTGACTTGTGATCAAGCTAAGGGCTCCCCCCTTTCATCCTTGGATTTTCAGATTTTTTAAAAAAAGAATTAAGAGTAGAGAATCAAACAGATGAGACAGAACCCATGTGATTCTTTGTTACAAAGGAAAGCAGATCGTCTTTGAAAGTTGTCAGCAATGAAATAAGTGTTTGGACACCTTTTTTGTTTAGTTTTTCCCTGTGAAAAAAATCTGAGTGTGCAGTAAAATTAGTCATTTCCGTAAACAGTATACGTCTTTTACATACACAGATACATGTAAATGCATTTCGTACTACGTAAATCCAGGTATATTGGTAATTCCGATTGCATAGACAATACATTTTGTAATTTGTGATCATGAAGTTCATGAAGAAAAACTAGCATTTTTTTTTTATATTTTGCACTAATCTTTATATTGCGACCATATTAATACATGTTTATGAAGATAAAATACCACCACTCGATACAAGTAACATTATGCATTAAATTTTGTAATATGGAAAACAGAAACTGATGACGTAAATTGGGAAATACAGGAAATTACATATGTACAATAAGAAAAGCCAATCTAAAACTGCTAAAGAAAACGCTAGCGACTCTTTCAAAATAATTCAAGATAGGCACATAGCAACAGGAGGAAGGGGGAGGGGGCACATTTTTCCAAACATTTAACAATTAGAAATGTTCATTGAAAGGCCGGTTGCCCCTCCCCCTTCAACTTTTTGTTACAGTACAGTAAAATAAGGGTAAAGTACATGTACATGTAACGTATATAATGTATGAAAATAAAAGTACTGAAAGAAGTTGGCCTCTACACCCTATTCCCGAAATTTAACTTCAGAGTGTGGGCAATTTCTCCCCATTTTGGGTTTTTAAATTTTTTTTATTATCATTTTTTTTTCTTGTCAACTTTTTTCCTGTAAGTTAATTTTTTTCTCTTTGGCAGCCCCCCCCCCCTTAACCTCTAAAATGATGCTATGTCACTGCAACGCTCTCAGAAACGGAAATATCTATTTATGGGGGAGGGGGTTGTCATGGGCCAACTAATGGAAGATCCGTGTTTCCCGGGTACTAGTATATGGGGATTGCAGGTTGTTGGTGTTTTTTGTTTTTGGTTTTGCTTACTTTATTAACCTTAATTCCTGTGGAAAATGATTAAAATAACTTTTCATGGAACAATACATT